CCGGCTACCAAACAGTGAATAACACCAATTTTTAAAGTACAACAATTTTTACAGAGTACTCTGATGCCTAATAATCACTACTTTATCAACAACCAGTAATGGCAACAGCTAAAAATGCACTGCCAAACTTATTGGATAATCAAAAACAAGCCTGTTAATTACTACACACAGAATCCACAACAACTAAATGAGTGACTAAAAAACTTCCAGCTAAATAAACTGCGATAACCAGTAGTATCCTATCTTTTAAGCCTATTCCACTATTCATTTCTGTTTCAGCCTCCACTAAATCGAATACAGTTAGTTAACAGTCTCAGCCTGCAACTGCATATTCAAAAACCAATCACCTTATTGTCCACGAGTCTTTGGACCCACAACCTCCCCCTAATGTCATTAAAACGACCACTGCGACATACAGTGTTTAATGTTCCCAACAGCTAATTAACAAGTCAATTCACTAAACACTCATTCTTAGTTTTAAACCCCTTCTGGAAGCATCTGCAGTCTAAAAAGTCATCCAGTGATTGATAGTTTTACAACACACTCTCCCCACCGTGCATTTAAAGTGCCAGACAGTTTTGACAATTTTACAAATTCTATATGTAAAAAATTTCATAAAAATCTCTTTATTACGAATATACAGAGAGAAAGAAACACACACACAAAAAAAAAGCAGTTTAGAAATACAACATTAGCTGTGAATATACCCAAAGCAATCTTTGAAAGTACGCATATTATGATTAATAACTCACTTAAAGTTATTCCAACAAAAATTAGCTCCACACGATTAACGACCTAATAAAATAAAAATGTCGTACACCCATAAAACAAACTTTTCAAATGTTCGCACTTTGTTGCAAACATCGACGGGTTATACCCGGATTATTCCCAGCAAATAAGCACAATATACGCCATTCTTCAGTATAAAAAGTGTAGCAGGCTTTACTGTCGTCAACAATATCAAGAAAGCGATCTGCAAAGTTAGCTAAAAAGATAAAGTGGTATTCTTGATAAAATAAATAGCAGAGGATAAAAACAAAAGATGAACAACCGCTAATTCCGTTAGATACCATATATCTGTCATTCAAAATTAACAGTTAAACAATGATTTTTCCGAGACTGCTAATAACTTTAATATCTAGGAAAAACCCATCTGACATTTCCCACAAAATCAACCTCATTAACAAACTTTATCAAAATCTCATTCAAAAACTCAATGAGATTTCAAGACCTCGAATTAATCTACTCTCTTTGTCCATCTGTCCGTACACAACACTCCTCTTTTCCAACTTACTATCACTTATCTTCCACGTGTTCCTCATAAAAGCTACAAGAGGTCCATAAAAAATTCAACTGGTTTTCAATATTCAAAAAACGCATAGTTCAAATACCGCAAAAGTGAAAAATGAAACTCAATATGTTACAATCAAACTAGATACAGAGTTTCATAAATTTACCAGAACATAATAAAATATATTCCTTCTGAAAAACTGTAAGATCAGCAAAAAACATAGCCAAGAAGCGATCGTCAGAAAGCGACACTATCTAGAGCTACAAGTCCTATAAACACAAGTCTTCAGAAAAACTGCCAACGCAATTTTTTCAGATGGAACTCTTTTGCAGCCACTCTACTGCACTTTCTTTGCTACTCTAATTATACAAATCCATTGAAATCTAAGCTAACTCACCAATTTTATCCAAGGTTATTATAATCACACTTTTTCTCACCAGTGATAGCCAACGTCCGAAAAATATTTCTGTAAAGGAGAAATACATTCTCTTTCAGTATTTTGAGAAATGAATTTCTTTCCAATACTTTTTAGCATACCGCTCTAACAAAAAAATCACCTCAAAAACAATAAGCCAAAAACTATAGCAGCTGATCACGCTAGCAAAAAAAACACTTTGAACTCCAAACTGTTTCATAAAATCTTGCTTTCCCAACCAACTAGTATAGCCGTCCTTACTAAGTTACCCAATAATTCTGCAAACTTCTTGGCTTCTTGTCCTTACCGCAACTAAAGCCTAATTCCAGTAGTTATTTGGAAAAATAAATTACAATAAAAAAAATACTGATAAAGAAAAGCTATCCAAAACGTAGCACTTTCTGCAATCGCAGCACAGCTGCCTCTATTCACCAAACCGACACAGACCGATAGGTTCAAGAATTTTTCCTTCAAAACGTCTGTCTTCTCAGCTAATACACATTCTACGCTCCATTGCGCTAAACCACTCTCCAAGTTTTTCTACTTTTACTGGCAGAGCGACTCAGAAAATGTTGAGGAGGGAATACCAAAATTCCTTTTTGATCCGCGAGCAGGTAGTTCTAACATTGGCTTTCAAAATAACCTGTAAATCG